CAGGGAGAGAGATTCCACCTCAACATTAGGAAGAAGTGCCTGAAGATAAGAGCTGTTCTACAATGGAAAATGCTGCCTTGGAGGGTGATGGTCTCCTTCCTTTGACGGTTTTTAAACAGAGGCTGGATGGCCATCTGTTGGGAGTGCTTTGATTATGTACTCCTGCATGGCAGGGGGGTTGGACCGGATGACCCTCTTCCAAATCTGTGGTTCTATGATCTCTGAACAGACAAGAATAGGTGTACTTCATCGAATCATAGAATCACAGAGTTGGAAGAAACCACAAGAGCCAGCCAGTCCAACCCCCTGCCATGCAGGAACTCTCAATCAAGGCATCCCCAACAGATGGCCATCCAGCCTCTGTTTAAAGACCTCCAAAGAAGGAGACTCCACCACTTTCTACTGTCAAACAGCTCTTACTGTCAGGAATTTCTTCCTAATGTTGAGGTGAAATCTCTTTTCCTGTAGCTTGCATCCGTTGTTCCGGTCCTGTTCTCTGGAGCAGCAGAAAATAAGCTTGCTTCATCCTCAATATGACATCCCTTCCAATATTTAAGCAGGGCTATCATATCACCTCTTAACTGTCTCTTCTCCAGGCTAAACATACCCAGTTCCCTAAGTCTCTCCTTATAGGGCTTTATGGTTTCTAGACCTTTCACCATTTTGGTTGTCCTCCTCTGGATACGCTCCAATTTTTCAACATCCTTTTTGAATTGTGGTGCCCAGAACTGGACACAGTATTCCAGGTGGAGCCTGACCAAAGCGGTTAAGCCAAGGTGTTCCTTCTTTAACAGAAATTGTATTACCAGTGGCAAAATCACATGGAAAGAAGAGATATAATAGATTCATACACCAGAATATAGGTTGGCAAACTGGGGTTGGACTGGATGACCTTCAGGGTCTTTTCCAACACTATGAATCTGTGACCTAAACACACACTCACACCTCACACAGCTCTCACCCTACAAACCAGAAGTGTTGGGGAAGAGATGTGGGTTCAAGCTCTTACTTGCTGACTTGTTACTTGTCTCTTTCCCACTGATACTTATAATTTCATCCACTACTCACCCTGTCCCTTCGATTAATGTCCGCACCATGTTGAACCAAGAGTTCCACCATATCTGGCTGGTTACGAAGGACTGCAATGTGAAGAGCTGTGTAATACGTGACTGGATCTGTTTTTATAAAAAAGAAAAAGGAAAAGACAGGGGAAAAAAATCTCACATCAGAGAAGCAATGCAGCAAGTGAAAAGCCTTCATTTCATCAAGATATTTACTGCATTCATATATTTATATCATTAAAATAGTTATGCTTTTTAAATCACTTACTAAGTGTGTTTAAAAATCTGTTCAAAATGAGGGTTGGCTGGCTTGAACCAAGTGAGTTTTAAAAAGATCCTGTTTTTTGGTGTTTTTTTTTTAAACTGATTATTTTAAATCAATTATTGATTTGTCGTTGTTTTGTCTCCAAGTCATTCCCGACTTCGGGCGACCCTAAGGCAAACCTATCCCAGGGTTTTCTCAGCAAGATTTGTTCAGAGGGAATTTGCAATTGCCACTGCCATCATCTGAGGCTGAGAGAGTGTGACCTGCTCAAGGTCACCTGGGGGTTTCCATGGCTGAGCTGGGAATCGAACCTTGGTCTCCAGAGAGGCAAAAGTCCAACGTTCAAACCACAATGCTACATGGTTAACCATGGTAGAAAAATCTTATATATGATAACGATGGCCAGGATACTCTATGCACAATATTGGAAAATCAACAGAATACCAACAGATGAAGAGTGGATAATCAAATTAAGAGAAGCGATGGATATGGATATACTTACAGCAAAATTAAGAGGAAAGGATATTAAAGATGAATATCCTTTCCTCTTAATTTTGGTAATACAAAAGTTTGGAGAGAAACAAGGATGGAATTTAGCTTAGATAATAGTAAAATGTAAGATAATGATGAATATAGAATCAAACTGCAAAGCAGGAAATGAAAATAGAAAGGGCTATATATGCAAGAAACAGGGCAAAAATTTAGGAGAACTAATAGAAAGGGTGATGAAGATACATCAGGAAGTTTAATTTACAAGACAAAACATTCTTAAATATATGAATGTAGATATAAATGGCCTTAAGAGTATTATGAGATTAGATATATGTTTGTTTGTATAGGTCTATGTTAGGTGTAGTTATATATTTTGAATGTAATGTATTGTAGTTGTTTAATTTTATGTTTATATGCACTTTGACTGATATGTTTATATGTATACGTATGTACTTATGTCTTTTTTTAAAGGGAATAAAAATTATTTTAAAAATGCTACATGGTTAATCAAGCTTTCTAATAGATAAAAAGGGATCCACGGTATTAATAAGATAATAAGCAGGATTCCATTTTTTCTCATTAAAATATGAATGCCAGAAACAAAACAAAACCCTGGTTTAAACAAAAATAACCCAGATTTAAACCAAAAACCTGGGGTTTCCCCCCACCAACCTTGCTTGCAACAAAGGCAGGAAAAACAGTAAGTCCTATTTCTAGAAAAAGGGGCAGTCAGGGGAGTTGAGGGGGTCTTTAAGGGCCCAAAAAACAGTCCCTAGGAGCCCCATTATCCCCACTCCTGCCTAAAATGGTCCTTAAAATGCCCAGGGGAATAAATCCGGTGCAGATGTGATGCTTTATGACTTCTCGGTACCCTTCCAGTTTCAGCAAGGTTTTAAACACAACCTGACATTGCATCTTTTGGATGGCCTACACTGCAGGGCTGTTGTCGCCGTAGGGAGTGATGGAGACCCTTACCACTATAAATGTTGGGTTCACAAAAAGGTCCACAGCATGACAGGAAGCATCCCATCCCCTTCTTCCTCTCCATGATCTCCCCAAAGTCAAAGGG